TTACAAGGTTTTTGAATCTAAGGAGATGATTTTGTGGTTTCTTTCCAGAGGATGATTTGTAGAGAGACGGTTGTTGAATACAGTTTCTAGTTTTGTAATTAAGCGGTGTAGCCTGTTTTTCATTCTTTGGTCTTGCAGTAGAGGCTAGATTAAGTGGACTATATGGATTAGGGCTTTTGTGTCGCAGGTGCAGTCGTTAGCAATATCAATTGGGTTTTTTGTACCAATAGCGTTCTCCAGGAAGTTTTTCAATTGGGCATAGTTGAGGGTAAGTTGGTTAGAGGTGTCGTCCAGGGCTGTTTTTACTGGATTTAGGATGTCATCCATTTGTACGATGATTGATAGTGATTGGCTGCGTTTAGGTTTTTTCTTCGTATTGATGAGTGTAGGTTTCTCACTTATATTCGAGTCATTGGTACATGGTTCATCAGTTATTGTGTTGTGTTTGATCGCTGATTGTAGATCTTCTTCTTAGGCGACTGATAATGGTCTCTTTTTTGGCGGTGCTTGAAGGTTTGCAGGATCGTGTAATGGGTTCTTGTTTGTGTTGGGGATTTGTGTTTGTGTCGTTTGTGAGTTGAGAGCATTATTAGCATTGGGATTTTTTCTTGATTTCCTGTTTCCCGTTGTGGTTGGGTTTCCATTTGTAGAGTTTATGTAGTACTGTAAGTTGGAGATGTTTGTCGTTGGTTCTGTTTCATTTGATGCTATGTTGTTATTGGTTTCTTTGCAATCCGTTGGGTTTAAAATGTGTCTGAGTATGGATATTGCATTGGTTTGCAGTGTGACCTTCTTATTTGCACAAGAAGCAGATAACTTTATCAGTAGTTACGAAGATTCTGTACTGTGTGTCGTCGTGTGTGATTAGAAATGATTCGGGAAGTTTATGAAGATCGTTTGGGTTTGTGTAAATTTGTCTTCTGAAGCACATTATGTGGGAAAAGCTGGGGTCCGGTAATCCGGCTCTAAGGAAGGATAGTTTCGAAGTCAGTTTGATGTTATAATTCGTTAGTACTTCTTCGATGTAGTCATGTGGTATGGTGGGAGAAACGTTGGATAAAACAATTCGTTGTGATGAATTAATTAGGGGTCTCATTACGGCGGTTGTATTGTTGATGAATAGTGATTTATAGTTGGTTACGAGAGCTTTTGTAGTGGTCTAACTATCTTGTAAAGGTATATACAAATTCTGTTGTTAGATATACGAGAGATAAAGCGTATAGTATTGGGTCCCGTGATTTTTGCTACAGCTTGTACGTATTCTTTAACAGTTGTGCCTTCTATGGCGTCGATTATCACTGCGTGTTCCGTAGTGGGAAATGCACTGCTTACTGTGTGGCTGATGCATATGATTTCGCAGGCTGAACAGTTGAAGAGTTTGGTTGGATCTGGATCGGTGTATTTTCAAATTCCATGTTTTCCATGGTCTAATTCTGTATTTAGGAGACTCACCGATATCACTTGCGATGTTATTGTGATCGGTTTGACTGCCCGAGAGCGACGTAATCATAGTATTTACTTCATCTGTATTTTGTGCAAACAAGATTTTACGCTAACTAACGTATTAATTTAATTTAACTTAACATAATCAATATCTACGTAATGTAATTAAATTATGAGGTTAGGTTATGTTATGATATATGAGAATAATTTGCGATCACCGATAGGTAGTACGAAATAAAACGAAATATAATTGCAGTGTAAAACTTAACTGAAGTTTTTTATGAATACCTCGAAAATGAGGGCCGAGCAACGCTAACTTGTATATGTAGGGAAACGTTATTTAAAATTATGACCTTGACAATATATCTCGAACTTATCGAAATTAATGAAAAATTGCTAAAATAAATAAATTCCGTCAGTTATTACTTTCTAAAGACTTTTATCCTGATTCCAACTACTCCCGTCAAATAAGAGTATTATAATTTAATTTTTACAACAGATCATTTCAAGTTAACCCTGACTATGTTTACAGAAGAATTAAAAATTTGCTGGTAACTTTCTATCAACTTCATTAATTTAATTTGTTACGCAGGAAATCGCTCAGTTTGTGTTTTAAAAAAACTTTATTTCTTAACCGCGACACTTTACAATGTATACACTTGTTACAAAGGTATAATAGAATAATCTCGATATTCGATTCATCACGATCTGACTCGTAGGTAATCTGAGCTCCGAATATCTTGCGCGCGCCTGCCTGCTTCTGTTCTTATACTTTTTCTTATCTCCGAATTGCGTTACCGTTTTTGGCTTATCTTGTTTGTGTCTCCTGGACCACACGTTACCTTATTTACGTCTTTCGGCCGGTGAGAAATTTAATAATAACATTATTGTTCTTTTCCACAATTTACCAATATTATATGTCTAGAACCCTTTTCATATTCCTGTACCCTTTAAAAAGAGCTAAACGTTAATAAAAAATTTAACGGCACAACGATGCTTACAATTACTCAAACGTATAGGTAGATACTCTTTCCTTACGGTGCACCGCGATATTTTCAATTGCTGCATAGTGGTGTGGACCGCGCAATTTTAAGTATAAGGCCGATTTTGGTCTGATTTAATTTATACATATTAAAAAGATCGATTATATTAAACGATCGAAAAGGGCGTTCCAATTTATGGATGTTTAATCTATTTCAGGATATGGTTCGAAGATCGTTAAAATCAAGTAAACTGCACAGATTTATATTAATATAGTACACATGAATAAGAAGTAAAATTGTATATTTAATAACAAGTCTCGTTAAATTTATAATAAACGCCTTCAAAAACAAATTTCTACCTATAACTTTTATATGTTTCAAGTTAAACAAAAATATGATTATTAATTTGAATTCAGCATATCAAAATCCATAAAAGTACATACTTGCATTAATTTCGACTGAAAGGTTGCTTCAAAAATAGGTTTTGTTCGCGTTTTTCGCGGTCCACCCCAATGCGCAATGGGTGGAAGAAAAGAAGTGCAACTCTACAGATGTCAAGGCCTCGTAGGACTATTTTGGGTAGAAACGTGTACCGTATTTGCATAGGAACGATTTTTCTTTAAGGGGGGATCTCACCCCTGCGATCCGAAAATCAGCCTTAAGTTTGTGAATTTTTAGGGGGAAAATGAATATCTTGATTAGAATGCCAATTCAAGGGTTTTATTATACATCTTTTGTATTGTAAAAAATATTTTTTTAATTTGATTTTCATCACAAAATGGCGGTTTCCTGTTCCAATTAGGGGAACACTTTTCGTAGAACGGGCTCCACTGGTGGGCCTGATTTCGACAGAACTAGTCAACCTAGGCAAATGCCAAAAAAACATCATCATCTATACTGTTGTAGTTATCGGCTATCATAGGCGTTTTTAAAAATATTGATTTCTTTTGAAATGGTAACGGTTTAAAAAAAAATTATACTTTTTTCGAAAAAAAATCGTCTTTAATTATCGATTTAAAAAAAACTACAAAATATTTTGCAAAAATCCTATGATGGCCGATAAAGGATATTGCTAAGAATATTCGTTCAAAATTTTAAGGCAATCGGATGGAAACTTTTTGAGTTATCAGTCCCACCGTTTCGAAAAATGTAGTTTCGAGAAAATCACGTTTAAAGTTTTTGAAACATTACGCATCTGCGTACCAAATGGTGCGAAGCGCTTCGGGAAAACTACTTTTTCAACCACTTTGGGATTGAATTTCGCTTTCTGGCTTTTTTCTCGCCTTCTTAAAGGTTCAAAGAAATGATTAAGGCAATAAAAAAAATTTCGATTTTTTGAAACTTCAGGGGTGGGGTCCCCCCTTAAGAAGGGAGGGGCGTGTCAAAGTACCGTGTCTGCGAAGAGACGATCTTTTTACCTAACAAATTTTGCTTTTCAAGTTGCCAAAGTATCATTTTGGCTTCAGTAGTTCGTAACTTTGCAACCAATCACCGAAATGAACCTCATTGAAGTGCAAATTGTAGGAGAAAAAAAACAAGGAAAAACAGTCCTAAAGTGCCAGTAATAAAAAAAATTTCACTGCAACTACAGAAACTTTTAAAAAAGAAAAAAATTTTTGAAAACTTTTCTATCGCGATTTTAAATTTGTTTTATTAATAAAAAAAAGATCAAAAAATATAGAAAGAAAGGGTCAAATACTAGAGGTTTCATACTTCAAAATGACTATTCTAATTGTTTGCTACGATGACTTTTAACGGAGGCAGAGCAATTTGAATATGGACTAAAAATTTCAGGAATTTTTTTATTCCCTTAATTCTTGTCAGTAGTATATATTAAATCAGTTTTGTAAAAGTTTTAATATTTTCAGTTCTTTTTGAAATATTTCAAGTCAATCTAGTTAAAATAGTGTTCATTCATTTACTCTAGAACAGAGTAATTTTTTCAAATCAAACTAAATTACAACTAGAATTTTTGTGAAAAGGTAGAGGAATCAATTTACAGAATAACTTGTTTTCATTAGTTTAAAAAGGTGACAGTGGGTTAGCATAATGAATTATTCATGAAGCAGTATTTCTAGAGGTTACATTTTTTAACGCAAGATACATTTGTATCATTAAAACTAATTATTGTTGAAAACGTGATACTTTGTGTGTAATATAACATGTACTATTTTTCACAGCAAAACAGTGTAATGTTCTAGATTTCGTTGCAAAATTAAAATGACATATTCTTACAATTAGTGACAAAATGGCGGAATGTATTACTTTTCGCTGTAAGATTAGAAACGTGCTATTTTACTTAGCGAAATCGTGCAATGTGTTAGTTTTTATCGCAATATTTAAAATGTAATATTCTTCATGGCGAAGCAGTCATGAATTTATATTAAGTTTTACGGAAAACGATCAAACATCCTGCTACTTATAAGAAACGATTAAATATTTTTCATTAAATAGCAAATTAAAATGTGAAATTCGTAAGAAAAATAAAACGTGATGTTTTTCGTATGGCACGTTTAAAGATAACTAGCAATTACAATGGCAATATTTAATTTTTATTTTATTTTTTGTTTGCAGCAATTCGCTGGAAACTCCGCATCTTCGTTGGAAATTTTTCCTGATAAGTTTCGTGATTCTATTTTTAGCTTTGGTAGAGCATATCCTGAGTATAGTGAACAATGCTGAAGGTTACGAATGGAACGGATCGAATTCAACGTTTCGTAACTTCTTGGAAATGTACAATTCACGATCGCACTCCTTTATTTTTGATACATGTAAGATTCTGTTATGTACGCATCAGTTAGTGACATTATATAACTATTACAACTAAATATTTTTGTTTTCAGTGGAGTACAATTTTGCCTTTGGTTTATTTATCTTTATAATCAGCAAACTAGCAACTTTTGTATGGAATTTTACAGATCTTTTCATTATACTGGTAATAAATTATGAAACTAAATTTGTTAGCTCACAATAATATAATGCTGAATAATTTTTTTAGGTTGCTACGGGTTTAGCTGAAAGGTATAAATGTTTGAATAAAAAACTGATACTTACAGTAGCGAAATATCGATCCAGATTTGATTGGCACGAGCTTCGTGAAGATTATGCAGCATTAAGTTCTGTTGTGAAGAAAGTGGACGATCATATTTCACCGGTCATACTTTTATCTTTTGCGAACAACCTTTACTTTATTTGCCTCCAACTACTGAACGGTATATCGTACGTATTTTTAACTATTTTTTCATACAGTACTATTAAATAAATGTTCCATATACTTTGTACCAAGGGTCGCATTTATAATCGTAAAGGTTCCATATCAGTGGAATAACCACTGTTATAAAACCTCAAAAAGAACTATTGAATTTCAATTCATTAAATTCGTACGTACTTCTGTTGTTAAATTGCTTGATTTTATTGTTTTTAAAATTCTGCTTTTTTAAATTTATTGAAAATAAACATCATATATACATATATGTAGCGGCACATGGTTCGCAGCGTTGGTAGAAATTAGCATTGACCGTTTACAGATGTTTAGGTGTAGGCAGTTAAGCCTACCCTAAAGTCTGTAAGTCGGCGAAATTATTTTATGTTTTTTGGACGTGCGTAGCTTAATAAGCTACCCTACCATAAACGCTGCCAGCCATGTCCCGTTACGGTTGATTAGGCCACATGGTCAGCGCGGGCCGGAAGGACATTTTCGACTCGCAAATCATAATTTATAATACTTTTTCCCCCGCCGAAAATGGGAGGTCTCAGCGAGAAAAATAACTCCACCCTCTGTTGTGTAAGGAGTTACGCCCTTTCCAAAAAGGAAATATATACTGTGGAAAGGTGCCTAAACAAGAGATATAATCAGTCGAGCCTCCGATTCTGTATCATCGAATATTCCATACCGTTTCAGTAACATTGTATACTCTATTCTGTACCTCTGCATATTGCCATAGTACCGATTAAACCTCACCTCTTGCAAACATACTGTTGCGAGCAATATTTATTCATCATAACTTACCTACCTCGCGACAATATAATAACTTATTTTAGTAAAATAAAGAAGAAAACGTTTACACTATACATATATTTATATTTAAAGAAGTATAAAAATAAATTAGTCCAGAATTAAGTTAAAAAAGATCAGTAACAATTACTTTATAAAGGAGCAACCAAACACTGTGGTAAATTATTATGAGGTGATGTACGTGAATGAATAATACCGTGTATGTGGCGAATGACTTATTAATACAGAAGGCGCGATGTGTTGACTTCGGTGATCGAGACTTGAATGTCTCACGAAAATACATTTTCGCATGGGAGAGAAAACTCTCTCCTTTTTTGGGAAGTCCCGAGAGGAAAGGGCCGAGGGCCTCCTTGACCCGCCGAGCCAGTGCAAAACTATTTACAACTTAATGACTCTATTGACTCGACGCGTCAAAAGGTCTCTGACAAAATCCAGACCTCGGTTTCCACTAGAAACTTTCCCTGTCGCCACAATTAAATAATAATAAATATCGGACTCTGAACGTCGAGGGGTCTCATATATTTTTTAGCGATTTCTAATTTTCTTTTATGAATTTAATGTTTAAAAATATGTATTTTATTTTGCAATTAAAACTTTGTTGCTTTTTATATTGCAGCGGAAAAGAAAAGGTCATAGATTGTGCCTAATTAAACTTATAATAAATGCGACCCTGTTTGAATCTCTTTCTTATGTACTTACATTCTTTAGTAATGAATCTCAGTATCGACTGGATCTATTTTGTTTTAAAAGCAGGTTCAATGACAGCAACATTTTTAGTACAATTTACTTCTTCAGTTCTTTTGCATTTCTTATTGGTCGAGCATGCGCCGTTACATTACTTTCTGCTAGGATACACGACCAAAGCAAGAAAGCATTGCCTTTTTTGTACAACTGTTCAGCGTCCAATTACAACATTGAGGTAATTTCACCTTTTAACTATTTATGTAATTTCTGAATTGTTAGAGATTTGGTCTAACTAAAAATTAATGTAACTAAAAATTAATTTAAATCATTTTTAATATGTATCTATTTATTTATTTGTAACCAATTGATATTGCTAGGAGGTTCACTTCTATTTTAGCTTTTTTACAAAAAAAGGAAACGACTGTACATCTATCTTATAAAATTGGTTTTCTGAGCACGATCTGTGTACTATATCTTCTCTAATTTCTGTTTGCCTGTGTCCTCTTCAGTTAGTTGCCCTCCATTTTTTTGGGGTTGCTGACATTACTTTCACCTTTTCCTCCACTAGATACACGAATCCTTTAATTTTCTCTTTTTTTATAATATTTATCTTCTCTACATTATCTTTTCGGATCCATATATCACTTTCTTCCGGCTCATTCAACAGTTTTTCTACACTTTACCTTTCTCGTTCTACGGACACCTGGGAAGATAGCCCAGGTAGTGTGGAAAGACTCACGCTTCCGGCGCCCCTAGAAGAGGGACGGTTTCCACGCATACCCACTAAAACTGTCTCCCGCCCCCGCCACAAGGGACGAGGGTGGCAGCAACCCGGCAGGCTTTCCTGTCCGTGGATAGAGTCCCCCTGCGCTAGACCATCGCTCGCTTGTTGTGGAAGAAAGACTACCCCCACCCCCCACCCCACCTCTCGCGTATGTGTTCCATGTGTCGAGAATGGATGCTCTCAACCAAAGGGTCTTGGCCCGAGAGGCTACGTCAAGATCTAAGGGGAGGCTCTCGGGCAAAAATGCGCTGACCTCCAGCTTGTCTTGTAACGCCCCCTCAGCACCGCCTCCCGGTGGGCTCGAACATACGGCAAAAAACCACGACCTCTCCTCATTATTTCCCACCTAATGTCCGAATACGCTTTCGGTTTCTATGTCTAACTCTGTTTGGGCTACGCAAATGTCTATTTTGCTTCACAAAAATTTT